AATTAGAACTTTAGCATCTATTTCTCTATAATAATAGAAGGATACAAAGATTTACTATTCATGCTATAGTAAATGATACAGTGAATATTGCTGTAGCACATACGGAAACTGTAGCGTTTTAAAAATATTACTGTGACATTATCACTATAGCACAGACATGAGACAGTAGCATTTTAAAAATGTTACTGTAATACTTACAAAAAACATTAAAAAACCAAGATTACTATAGCGGAAATAAAAAAATAGAGTTAGTGTTTTGTAGGCGGGTGCACTTTATTAGTTAGGGGCTGTTTGTTTGCTTTATTTTGAGATGGAAAGGGGTGAAAACCTGCCAAAATGTCAGATTTTGGTGACATTTTGGCAAACCTGCCAAAATGTCAGATTTTTTTGACATTTTGGCAGGTTTTCACCCTAAATCAGCTCTGAAAACCTGCCAAAATCTGACATTTTGGCACGTTTTCACCCCAAAAAAATAACAACCAAACAGCCCCTTAGGACAAGAAATTGCACCTTGTGGGAGCCTCGGAATCTTCAATTGTGAAGGAATTTGAATTTGAATTTCTCATCTTGCAACGGTCAGATCTTTGGTCATATTCGAGCCGTCCGATCTCTTTGTCGATCGCTCACTAATTAAATACAGGTCCCTCTCCTTCTACTTCATTTTTTTTCAGTACAAATTTTGTCCTTTAACCCAAAGGGGGATTCACTTTCGTAAGAAACAAAAGACCTCAGCCTTTCTACGTTCAGTCCAGTTAACGTTTCATTGTCTTGTGCTTCGAATCGAAGGCAGCAGAAATTTTGATCAAATCGATTTCAAAGAGAGGGAAGGGGAAAAAAATCTATGAGAGCAGCTCTTCTTCCTTGTATGCGGATGCGACGCAATTTAAAGTGGAAACTCGATTGATTGAGGTAATCCAAATCTCTAGCTTTGTTACCTGTTTCTTACCTCTTAATTAATTTCGGGGGAAATTTCAAGTATTTGCAGAAATTTGGAATCGCTTATCAGAAGTTTCAATTTTTTGTTAAAATTTGATTTTTTTTTGTTTGATTTTAGTAGATATTTAATGCTGAATTGGGTTCAAATTTGGAATGAAAATGCCCTTTTGATGATGATTCACTTTGAAGCCTCGAATATTATTTGTGAACATTTCTGTATATATATCTTTGCACCACTGGGTTTTTATCTCCCAAAGTTTTCATTAGCTGTACTGTAACTAAATTTTCACTGGATTATTTTCTTCTTCCCAGTTCTCAGTTGTCAAGAATCAAGTTTTAGTAGTAATCAAATGATAACGTTTGATACAAATTGCCTCCTTTTGATCTGAAACTGCTTTTGATCCCTCTTTCTGATAAAATCTTTAGAAACAACTTTTAGATTTTCGAGAGAAATACACTTTACCATACCACCGAATTCTGCCCGTTTGCATTTGCTGTAAGATTCCTTCCAAATTGTTTGTTGCGTCTTCACCAAAACAAAAGGAACAAGATTCTGTATCAAATTAATCAAACTAAAAATTTGGCAGTCACCTTGTTTTCTCCCTTATTCTCGAGAAACCCACCATCTCTCAGTTCCCAAACATGTAAGAGGTTTAGAACAGTCCGTGCTAAAAGCTGGATATCAAAGAGAGGGAACTCAAATGTTCTTAAACCCATAATTGACTCTCCATCTAGATATTGCGGAGACGAAACAGACCCCGACTCATGCAGCATGGGCTGGTTTTATACTAGTCTGGTCCTGGTCGAACACTGCAATCCTGGTATCCCCTTTAGTTTTGCACTAGATTAGCCCTGGAACAGCACTGCAATGTTCACCATCCGTGCCGTGTGCTCATTTGCAACTGGAAAGATAGGTGTACTCTTATACCATTCGATTTGTAAGAGACTCACCCCTAAAAACTAGCTGTTAGATGGAGCAAACTTAAATCTCTTATGAACCACAATTAACTTCCGATTTAGTAAAAACACACCCTAACAAAATCCCACTTTAATCCCTTATGATCTTCATTTTCTCCCATATGTTCATCATTCCTTCGACTTCATTTTCTCCCAGGATCAAAGAGCACCACAATGACGGAAGACTCAGAATCACTAGACCAGTGTCTTGCGCATGCCCGTAGCCTCATCCTTTCAGCCATCAAGAACTCAAAATCCACCAAAAGTTTCGTGGGTCGATGGACTTTGATCGTCTCCAAGCTCGAGCAAATCCCAAATTGCCTCTCTGACCTCTCCTCTCATCCACTCTTCGCTAAGAATGGTCTATGTAAAGAGCAGATACAGTCCATCTCCACTGCCCTTTCAGAAACAATTGCATTGGCTGAACAATGTTCTTGCAGGGAAATTACAGTAGGAAAGCTTCAAATGCAAAGCAATCTTGATTCACTCTCTGCAAAGCTTGATCTTTGTATTAAGGATTGCCACCTTCTGATAAAAACCGGAGTACTTGGTGAGTTGAATGTTCAGTCTTTGAAGATTTGCAGCGTGCCTGAGTTACTTGCCAGAGTTCAGATAGGAAATAGTGAAGCAAAGCATAAGGCAGTTGACGGGCTTCTTGAATCTTTGAGGAATGATGAGAAGAACGTGATTGTTTTCTTAAGTCAAAGCAATATAAATGCACTTGTTCAGTTGCTCACCGCTACTGCTCCTAAGATTAGGGAGAAAGCTGTCACAATAATTTGCATGCTTGCTGAATCTGGGAGTTGCGAGGGTTTGTTAATTTCAGAAGGTGTGATTGCTCCATTGGTTAAATTAATGGATTCTGGAAGCCTCACAGGGAGAGAAAAAGCTGTAGTAACACTGCAGAGGCTCTCAATGTCGGTGGATAATGCACGATTAATTTCCGAACATGGAGGAATTCTGCCATTAATCGAAATTTCTCAAGCTGGGGATTCAATTTCACAGTTGGCAGCAGTTGGGACTCTGAAGAACCTTTCGATTTTGCCTGAAATAGGGCAGAATTTGGTAGATGAGGGGATAATTCGGGTCATGATAAATTTGCTAGATTCTGGAACTGTGCTCGGCTTGAAAGAATACGCTGCTGAGTGTTTGCAAAATTTAACATCGCTCAGTGGCAACATAAAAAAGATTGTAGTTTCTGAAGGAGGAATTAAGAGCATCTTGGGTTATCTTGATGGTCCATTACCACAAGAATCAGCAGTCGGTGCATTGAGGAACCTCATAAGTACAGTATCGACAGAGAGTACAATTTCACTTGGGATTTTACCTCGAATAGTGCATGTGCTAAAGAACGGATCTCCAGGTGCTAAGCAAGCGGCAGCCTCTGCAATATGCAAAATATCTAATTCCACGGAAATGAAGAGTTTGATCTGTGAATATGAATGCTTGCCTTTGCTCGTAAATTTGCTCGAGGCTAAGTTAAGTTTGGCTAGAGAAGTTGCGGCCCAAGCCATTGCAAGCTTGATAAGTTGCCGACATAGTCGAAAGGAGGTTAAAAAGGATGAAAGAAGCGTTCCGAATCTAGTTCAGTTGCTTGATCCGAGCCCTCAGAATACAGCAAAGAAGTATGCAGTGTGTTGCCTTTTGTTACTGGTATCAAGCAAGAAGTGCAAGAGGATAATGATTTCTTATGGGGCTATTGGATATCTTAAAAAACTTTGTGAAATGGATGTGCAAGGTGCTAAGAAACTGCTTGATAGATTGGA